ATGCTATGCCATGTTATGTTATGTTATGTTATGTTATGTTATGTTATTTTATTTTATGTTATGTTGTGTTATGTTATGTTATGTTATGTTATGTTATGTTGTGTTATGTTATGTTATGTTATGTTATGTTTTGCTATGCTATGCTATGCTATGCTATGCTATGCTATGCAATGCTATGCTATGCTATGATATGTTATGTTATGTTATGTTATGTTATGTTATGTTGTGTTATGTTATGTTATGTTTTGTTATGTGTTGCAACGTGATGTGATGTTATGTTATGTTATGTCATGTCTGTATGAATGTATGTATGTATGTATATGTACATATGTATGCATGTATGTATGTAACACAATGTATGTATGCATGTATGTATGTATGTATGTATGTATGTATGTATGTTATGATATGTATGTTATGTTATGTTATGTATGTATGTATGTATGTATGCTTGTATGTATGTATGTATGCTTGTATGTACGTATGTATGTATGTATGTATGTATGTATGTATGTATGTATGTATGTATGTAGTTGTATGTAATTGTATGTACGTCTGTCTGTCTGTCTGTCTGTCTGTCTGTCTGTCTGTCTGTCTGTCTGTCTGTCTGTCTGTCTGTCTGTCTGTCTGTCTGTCATATACAGTTGCATAAATGCTTACATGCATACATGCGCGCATGCATGCATACTATATCTACATACACGTTCACATGCACATGCGTTTGTGCAGGCACAGCCATGTACTCACACCTGCATACATGCTCACATGCATGCTCACATGCATGCACGCAAGCATGCATGCATACATACAGACAAGCACACAAAGTTGCTTGCTGGGTTGCTTGCTTGTTTGTGTGCGTGCAGGCATGGGAATACACACACACACACATATTATAATATGTACATCGACAGATTTTGCGTGCGTATCTTGTGTGGGGCATACGGCAAGATCCTCCGATTTGCGGTTCTGCGGGCAGCAGATCTATAATGCGGCGTGCCCTTTCATGCAGCATCTGCAGTGCCGTAGGGGGATCTCAGGTTCAGCGATGAACTCTTGACATTTAACCAAGCATTAGACCCCTTGAGGGGTAGAATCTTTCGAACTTGGTGATCTTCGCTGCCAGTTCTTCTGCTGCGCCCGAGAGATGAGTTTCACCGGGCGTGCGGAAGCCTCAGTCAGCCTTGACTTGCTGTTGATTGTCTCCTAGGAAGTATTAGGGAGACCCCTTGAGGGGGACCCTTCCTAAGCCAACTTATGGCTCTCTTAAAAGGCGTATTATTGAGAGGGTCTATATCCCCAAAGCCCCCCGCAATCCCAAATTCTATTGTCCCGCGAAATGTGAAGCCTAAAATGTGCGAGGTTCAGGGTGTGTAAATGCCTGGGTCTAGGACGTCAGAGGTGCGGGAATCCAATGTGAAGCCGCAAGCCTCAACGTTGAGTTGGTCATGGGCGCAGCTTTCGCCGCTTTCACCTTCGAGACGATTCAAGCCTCGAATCTTAGGGTTCCCAGAACGTGCGCTGAGGGTTTTTATCGGTTGACCCCTTTTTAATTACTGACAGACCCTACTCAGTTTAAAATGTGTTCTGTTGTTTGCTAGATAGCCAGGCTTGCTTTCCAGTCGGGAAATGAATCCTGCATGGGACTAGATTCATTTGGGTGCGCAGTCAAATCAATTTCCAGTGCATTGCCTTTCAAGGCAACCCAAGTCCAAACACTCGATACTGGGTCGTGCTATCTTGCAGTTTCCGCTTTTTGCGCGGCTGCCCCTGCAACACGCTCAATTTCCAATCCTGTTCCGGTGGTTTGCCCATAGCACTACTGAAGCTAAGTCCCGCACCTTCTCCAAATTAGCGAGTGCACTGTAGGGTTCGTAATACTTACACTCCAGATATATGTATTGATCAGACCTTATATAAATTCGAAGTTCCTTGAAGTTGTGAATCTTAAATCCGAAACCTTAAACCCTAAATAGGCCTAAACCCTATAAACCCTAAACCCTAACCCCTACGTACCCTAGAGCCCTAAAACTTAGTTTCCACACTCGCAGATCGCTGCTTTCAAGAAATTTGGAGCTTCCGAGCTGTAGGTTCATATGCCGAGACAAAGCCCCTTTAGGGTTTGGGGTTTAGCGCGTAGGGTTTAGGGTTTGAGGTTTAGGGTTTAGGGTATAGGGTTTATAAGGCAGTGTATCATCGTGTATCCTAAACCCCGAACCAAAAACATCTCGAACAATAAGCCCACCAGGCAAAGCCCAACCCGGTGCGCTCCGGCGGGTCTTCACCGTTTGTGGAGCCGGGCCCTCGGGGGGTCCTCATTAGGTTTAGGGTTCAGGGTTTATGGGGTGCACGGCTGATGACGGGATGGTTGTAGGGGGGCAATCCAGCTCCGACAGAACTTCGAGTCTCGAGATCCCAGAATTACGCGCAGACACCGACAGACAGACAGACAGA